TTTTTCTACGTTTTTTATACGTTTTTTAAACGTATTATTTCCGTATACTTTCCTTATACTGATTATTTATAGGGTATTGATTATAATGGAATCCAAGTAATCTATCATAAAGATTTTTAATAGTTTGAGAATTTACATTCAATGGTTTATCTTTATCACTTTTGTCATATCCATTATGAAGTTTTCATGTCAAATATAGTAAATTATATGAATGTGGTTTTTTTGAAAAATCAGAAGTTTTCCAAATGCTGTTTGCTCAAAATGGTTAAGTACAATTTGAATTATATGAAGTCCACTTCCAATTCTTAATGATTTTAAGCCTATTCTTTTATTAAAAAGTGTAATCACATCATCTTTGTTTTCTGACATATATGCTGTATTGTCAGTTACCCATAATGTACATTTGGTAAGATCTAAACCATCTTGTTTAATATTAATAATATCAGTTTCACATACAGTTTCTGCATTGCACTTTTGAATATCTTGAAATTGAGTTAAAACTATAACTGGTGTTTGATCTTTTTGATTTCAGAATTGATAACATATAACCAAATTTTTAGTTTCACCTCTTGTTGATTCATCAACCATAATTCTGAATGCTGAGGCATTGGCTACTTGACAGATTTGAGCATTAACATATAATTCTGAAACATCCTGATGCCAAGTACGCAATGTTGAAATTGATAGCCAATTTTGTGGTGGTTCTCCAATTAAAAACTCATAAATTAGTTTCATACATTCTACTGTTGAATTTAATGATATTTGGCCAACTTGTGAGATACTAGTTGCAAGCCAAACAGTATTAGATGTATATTTGTGTTTGTTAGTTTCAAAGATAGATTTAATTTTTTTTTGAAATGTTGCGTCAGAAATCTGATGAAAGCATTGAACTAAAGAACGAATTTTAGATATATGATTTGATTTTTGATTACGAAGATGTCTATTTTGAACTCCAAGTGATTGTGTTTTTCTAATTAATGTTTGATTTTGTCTGTGATGCCTTTTAAAATCAGCTTTTAATTTTGTATTAGATTCTTGTAGAGACTTATATGTGGACTGATGCTTATAAAGACTTTGAGTTATGGATTCATAAGCTTTTTTCTGTAAATATGGTGAATAAATTTTGCCCTTATTAGGTCCTTTTGAATATCGCATAGATGAGTAACAGATAAAAGTTGATCATCAGGTTAGTTAAAACTAAATTATCCCGTTGGTTATTTCTTATAGTCGAACTAGGAGATTGAACTTGTATGGTGTTAAAATTGTTTCAAGTTGATTCTCATCCATTTCATCCAAACATTTGTTTATTTCATTAATTATTATATCATTCCGATACTTTTCTAACTGAATTTTGTTGCAATTCTTTAGTTGAAAGCGGCGTTTATACGATCTGTACACTCCCATCACTATTTTTCAAACTTTAATTAGATGCACAGTCTTAACTGCTCAATATTTCAAGGTCAAACTTTGTAAGGAACAATATTGAAGCCATATAAACATAGTTACGAAGCTATCTTTTACATTAAAGTGAAAAAACTAACATTCAATAAGGTAGTTAGAAATTTATTTTTCAAATATAGGATTTAAATAGGAATTTTCACCAAACTTTCTAGTTGTTGTAAATAAAAGCTTCGTAAGTTTGTAGCCGTGGTATGGAAGAACCGATTTATATTTAAAAAATTTGGAAGGAGAGAGATTCGTCCTGTGCATCTAAAAAAAAATGCTTATTTTTTATAGTTAATCTATATGTGTGGTACTATAAAGTATATTGTCGTTCAAACTTCAGCCAAAAATCATGTGTTAAAACTACATATAGTTTTGATTTAATTAGTTAACAGCACGCCCCAGCGAACCATGGATCCTTACAGGTGAATTTTTACAAGAAAAAAAAGTAAATGGGACAGTCAGAACTCAATATAACAAACCCTCCGGTTCACTGAAAAAATTCGCTGTCAAAATTTAAATTGTTTGATATAACGATTTTTATATATATGTTCACAAAGACAAAATTTTAAAAAATCATTTATCATGAAATTCGTTATGTCGCATAGTCGTTCTGACTGTAGTTTAATTTATCGTGGGCTGTCTTGGGAAATAATAAAAAGAATTCTTGAATTCTGAAGTCTAGAGGAGAGGGTATAATTCGTGATTTAACAAAACATTATTTTATGCAGGCTGAAGGGAATTGTAATGCCTTATGGCCACGAGGGCAAGATGGTGACCCTACCATCTGGTCGTTCGATTCTTATTATCACTGTGTGGGATGCAACAGCCCTTCTTTGGACGTACAGCATAAGTCGACCTCCAAAAGTGAAATGCAATTACAAGGCAAATCCTCCAATGAAGAAATTCGAAAACCAGGTCGCATATCTGAAGAAAATGCAGTTGGTCCTTGTGGGAAAATTACTGGAAATGGGGAATTGGAAGGAGGAAACTCCTCCAACCACGGTAAATCTCACATTCTCCACTCGGAAGGGGAGCGTCAGGAATTACTTTGTCGGGGTATCAATTCGTGGAAAGACCGGAAAAACGAAAGCAGAGAACAGAGAGATATACAACATGATCGAACAAGCAGGAAAAGAGAGAGTAAAAATGATGAAAACAATGTATTTAATTGTCAAAACTGAGAAAAAATTGAAAGGTTACTCACAATCCTGGGGCCATTGTTCAGAGTCGGTACCCTGGAGGGTACTTCATGGAAAGAAGACTACCCGAAAACACCGTGTTATTTTGTACTCCCTGACAGTAGACCAAAATGGAGAATTGATGTCCCTATTGTCGTACGATAATAGATTCGACTTATCTGGCAATAATCTGACTTTGGAAGTCGAAATGATCGAGAATGAACCAGACCGTTGTCGTATTGCAAAATCTCTTGATATAGAAATACAAAGCGCTGATCTTCAAAAAGATAATATTTATCGTTATTATTGGATATTGCACAATGCGGTTTTAATCATATAATTATTATCGGGAGTTGTTACTGTGACTTATTTTTTCTGGACTGCTACGAACGTGTATTCAGATGGGAAGCTATGACTAAATTGTTATGGTTTTTCGGAATTTTTTCAATCCAATATCAGAGAAACCAGTGCCATGGGGCGTCTCATTAGACGGAACTGTGTGGGAGCTATCTGGTATTTACGCATATTTTACTTGTTCTTTATCTTAATATAACTAATTTCTTTTCTTTAGATTTGGATTCGCCAGAAGAATGCAATTCTCACCCCGTAAGTGACAAGAAAAGAAGTAAGAAAAAAGGCAAGAATAAGAACCAAAAAAAAGTATCATTAATATAAGATTTTTAAATTTCGTTATGTTTATAATAATCGTATTAGGCTAGATAGTAATCATCAAATATATTTGCTTTAACAAATAAAATATGCTATTAAAAATTAATCATCTCTTGAAAAAAGTGGTCAGTGTTCCGAAAAGTGGTTTTTTTTCGGCAACATTAACTTATTAAACATTCGAATATTTAACTACTTTTTGTCTAGAACTTCGTACTAGTTGTTATTGTATCTATGATACGCAATTTGTCCTATATGTAATAAAGAGCATTAGTATCTGGAAGGCCACTGTTAGTCGATAATTAAGGCAGTGAAATATATTATTTGATTTGCGATAATATCAGAGAACCCGGAATTTCGTTGAGGTGTTACGATCATATTCTGAAAAATCAAGAACGGATTCCGGAGACCGGGACAAAGTAGAGGCATGAAGTAAAATAATATCATGTGAATCGATCTGGAAATAAACCTTATTTTAATAAAACTGCTATTTTACACTCTGGACTAAAAAGATCGGCAAATTTTTATTGGTCAAATGATCGTGTTCCAAAAATTAAACTACTTTTTTTTTCTCACGAACAAAAAACAACTCATTGCCAAGAGCAAAAATTAAAAAATTCATTTGTGTTGAACATTTAATACTCTTTATTTTATTAAACACAACAGCGGAGAAATGGAAAAAGGGCAATGTCGGTATAAATATTTATTTGTTTTTTTGTTATTTTTATTATATTAATTTTTTTTTCTTCTACATAGTAGTATAGAATAAGTGACAGATGAATGTAATAGCAGCTGGAGTTTGACTTGGAGGTATTAGCCAACTTAGTTTGACTTGGAGGTATATGCCAACTTGGACAACTTTGTTGGGCTTCAAGCAAAGGTCTGACAGGAAGGAGGTTGACAGTAACCTATTTGAGAGATGGTTTTTTTGGTAAGGGTCTGCTTTTTATTTATGAGTAAATTGCTAGGTATTTATTTACCTTTACGTCAGGAAAACCATTTCCTAGGCCTGGCTTCTCGCTTCCTGAAGGGTTCTTGAAGTTTTACCTAACCATAGCAATGCTCTGGCTGCAGTGGATGAAAGTTATTTTTTATCTTTATGTTCTTTGGTCTTGTTATATGAGTTGTTATGATCATCTTCATATAATAATTACATATATTAAGCAAAAAATGTATTGATATATATAATAAATATAGTTTCCATAATGTTTAAAAAAATGTTTGTAATATAAAAAAGCTTTTATTAAAAAAAATTATTAACTATCCCAGTGCAATCCTATTATAATTAATAAAGAAAATATTTTAAAATAATATCTATAGAATTATAACGTTTTTTTCTGTTGATCAGTGTCTGGAATGGTTAACTTAGTTCCACTTATAGATGGAAGAGCGATGATCCGGTACAACATATTCGGCCGAATTTCGTTCGATCCACTTCGCATATGAGATGTGCTGAAGATCACGATTTTCTCGGCGAATATCAAGTATCAAGCGATAAATGGTTCTTTTAGAAACTAGCCGAGCAATTAAAAATTACTTTGACTACGATTAAGGTTAGATCTCTCGGAATAAGGAGTTAACGACGTAATTTCCCGGAGATATGCGATACATGTAAATCTGAAAATCAGGGACACCGAAATAAATTAATTAAATGCTCGAAAGTCGACATTCAATAAAGAATTATATAACGCGTCTTTATAATGTTAATGAATGATAGCTTCTTTATTACAAATATTTAAATTTATCACCTTTAATTCTATTATCAAATATATATAAGAGTAACTAATTTACTTTCATACAGCATAACCTTCATTTATTGCTTTGTATAAAACTCGTATTTACCCAGATTTACACATATTCTCTTGCCCATATCTATAATAAAAAATCTACTTACGTTTGTAAATTTGCTAGCAAAATGTATCATTTAAATATAAAGCCTACTCTATTTACTATATAAATTAATGTTCAAAAAACTTCCTATTTAATTTTAAAAAAATATATAAATTATATATTTATTTTGTTTTTTGATTATAAAATCATTGGGTCTGTTTCATTAGATTTTGTGTACATTTCCAATAAATAGCACCTCCATTCTTTGATCCAAAGATTTTAGATGATCGACATGTACATACTGGTACACTTTCTTTAGTATCAATAGTATCAACACGCATAACATCGATGCTACCTGTTAACACTGCAACCCGTGAAAAATTGGCATATACAAGTTCTGCAGCAAACTATAATTTAATTTTTTAAGGAAATTATTGTCGATTATTCATTGAATCATATATATATATATACAAATAATAATAATAATAATAATTATCACTAACCTGTGGTCCATCTCCTTTCTTGGCTAAAACTACATGATATTTCTTATTTTCTTGTCTAAGTGTTTGTGCAAGTTGTTCTAAGTGTACCGGATTCATATTTACTGATAATGGGAAATGCCCTTTTGAAAATCTATAAAACAGAATTACAATAAAAAATCATGTATAAAATAACATATATATATACATATATATACTAATAAATATTTTCATACTCTAGTTCACTTCTTGTGTCGATAACCAATACATGATTCTTCAATTTTACTAAATCTTTAAGTGAAATTCTTGGAGTTAATTCTTCCTTCTTAGCATCAATTGAAATGGGCACTTCCCACCAACGTTGAATATTATGATCCTAATTATAAATCAATATAATATAAATCTAATTTTTTTTTTTAAAAAAAAAGAAAATGAAAAGAAAATTATCCGTTAATGATAAGATACTTACAGGACCCTGAATTCCATTATGTGATGCACCAGGTGTTACAAAAGGTTCATGAACACGATAAATCACTGAAGGTGGTGTTACTTTACACATTGAAAGTGCTGATTGAATGCACTTTTCAATATCAACGTCAGGAAATGATTCGGCAAAAGCAAGACATTCATTAAATTCTGACTGTAAAAGCAAATCACGAAGCTGCCGTAGGATAGAGATACCAGTAAATAATGGTAGCGATGGTGGTCCAACAAGAATTTTATCCCATAAATGATATGTTTTATCCAATGGGAAAACATCTATTCATTGAAAAAATTTTATATTCTCGTGAAAAAATTTATAAATAAAACAGAAAAGTTAGCTAAACATGCAACTTACGAGTAAATAATGTCAAGAACCATGGAATGGCATATAGATCAGGTTGATACCCTATTTTGTTAAGATGACTGGAAAGTTCTGGATCATGAAATGACAAAAGGTGTTTAAAAACTGCAAGATACTCTGCAATGACAGATGAATTATCAAACAAGAAAACATCCTGAAGAAATTTCGGAATAAATGTATGTAAACAACTAAATGCGAGAGCCTCGTCATTAAAATTAAGTGTTAGGAAAGGAGCGCAAAGAGAGTCCAACCCTAAAATAAATTTTTAATAATAAATTATTGTGTTAAATGAAAGGTTAAACCTATATTGTAATTAATAACTTTGTAACTACTACCTTGCCAGTAAACTAATTTATTGTTCGCGTTCGCCACTATAAAACATTTCAAAAGCCTTCGAAGTTTTTCATGACCAATTGGAGACGAAAGTAGCTGATTATATTGATGACACCTCGGAACATCTGTCCTCGATAATATTTAATCCAATCAATATCCGTTAGATTTTAATTAAATAAAATAAATTAATTTCCACATCTAGATGAAAAATTGCAAACTAGTGTATTACCAACATCGATCTGAGGTAAACAAAATAATCATTAATAAGTATATTAAAAAATTTTTTTTTTAAAAAAAAGGTTATTAAACCATTGGCAAACCTGACGATCCGTCGCAGTTTCCTTCTCGGTTTCCTTATCATAAGAATCGTATAAGGCTTGATAATCGCCATAAATTCCTAAAATTGCAGCCCAAATTCTTCCACGTAAAAACGGTGGTATATCTACTTTTGCATGATGAATAATTTCATCTCTCGACGCTGGATATTGCCTAAGTAACTCACTAAATAAGGCAACCCTCTGAAACTGATACCCGACGTCTTTTTCTCGTATTAACAACGGCAATTTGATGTTATTTGTTGGTGGTGTAGTTTGCCCATTTGTCGAGGACAATGAAGCTTTATGGTTATTTGGATCAGGATACAGGTACTTTCCAAGAATATCATCATCCTTTGTGCTTGAATTGTCATCGTCCGACATTTCGTCGACCAAGAAGTTCATATCGTCCTCATCAACAAGCATAAAATAGTCAGTATCCCATTCAAATGTTTCCCTATTAGGACCAGTAGCCACTTCAAGTCTTTGTCGAAGTTCCTTTAGAGATAAAGTGTAAATGGTATCAGAAAATAGAAAGGCAGTGTCTTTTGTTGTGCCTTCTTCTTTTCCATCTTGTACTTTCACAGTCCTTGGAATTCGTTCGATTGGTGGTGTACTTAGAAGAAAACCTCTTTTGGCCAATTCCGTTTCCACATCACCTCCGGCAAGTTTCCAAAAATAATAAATCTGAGATAATGGTATCCCGTAGAGGACATCCTTGTTGGGTTGTTCATCTATAGGAATAAACATATTTTCTTCATCAAAATCGATGCTCTGTGATTGTAAGAATGGCTTTTTCCACCAATATTTATAGTTGTCGCTGAGACCATGTCCAGAAAAGAATGGATGCGACAACAACTGTTCTGGAGAACACCTATTTGAAACATCCACTTTCAAACATGCACGAATGAAATTTCGAAAATCCAAATCCGCAAGATCATCATCAGCAGAATCTTGCAGAAAGTCCAAAATAGGATCATTTATACCCAATTGATGAACAATAAGCTTGTTCCAAACTCCAGCATCATCATCAGTTTCCCCTTCCTCCTGTACGAAGGATTGAAGCATCCATAATGAAAAAAATAATTTCTCAATGTCTTTGTCATTTTCCTTCCAAAAAGTTGACCCTGTAAAAATTTCAGCCAATATTACACCAAGTGACCACACATCCACCTATAATAATAAATAAATAAATATTTCAGAAAATTATAAATAAATATCTTAATATTGATTATTCGTACCTTTCCGGTGACCTCTGGCATATCTGCTTGGCGATAAATTGCTTCGGCAGGGAGATAATGTGGATAACTTTTTTTCCGTTACATCAAAAGTCAATTAATATATCCCTCATACAAACAATACGTTCTCTATTCACTTACCCAATTGGGAAATCTACGTCAGCACCTCCGTTGGTCATATAAAATAAACCGTAGTCTGCCAATTTAACTTTACCCTAAAAAGCAAGGTGATTCCGATGAATTAGGCCAAAATTATTATTATATGAAATAAAAGAATAAAAAAGGTTTATACCTCGGCATCCAATAAAATATTATGAGGGTCCAAATTATGATGTGTTATGCCATTTTGATTTAAATATGTAAGTGCCTTTAAAATTTGAAAGGCCCATTCACGCAACATACTAATTCCTATCCTTTTGTAATTATATAGATTAAAAAATAATCTAGTCTATCTTTCAAAAAGTTAAATTCACGGAATTTTTACCTTGTAATCTGCATGTTGCCTCCTTCACCCTGGTACAATTTTCCAAGATGATTCATGTGATATTCAAATATCACAAACAATCGATCTGTGAAAAGTTAATTAGAATCCATTATCAAATAAAATGCCCGTCATTAAATGGACTTACTGTCAAAAAATTTTATCGCCTTGAATTACCGTGTTTGCCTTTAACAATTTCTACATATTCACAAATGTTCGGATGTAATAAAGTCTATATAAAGAATAAAAAATTACGTTACAAATACGCGCTAATATAAAATCCAAAAAATCTGAGCATATAATAACCTTTAATGCTTGAAAACGACCAAAAATTTCAGTCGTTGCCGTAGCGAGCACATCTCGGTCTTCCAAACCAGCAACAGCAGAAAAACTGCTTACTCCAAGGTGCACATCTGATTGAAAGCTTGCATTTATTTCCTTGTCAGTGGCAAAAGTAGCCATGAATAATTGGAAAGTAAAAGAGTATTTTTATTTATTTTTGTATGGAAAAGAAATCAAAACTTATATGTGCAAGATGGTTACACTATTAATGGCGAACGAAAAACAGCACGTGTTGGAGATCTTTCAAGAAAGTAGAATTTCAGGGGTTAAAAATGTTTTATTGTCACAAGAGGGGATCAGGGTAATTTTTGTTGGGAAGTTAATACAAGTGATGATAAATTACGGATAGAACTTTAGTTGGTTCTCTACTCCCTGAATTGGATTATTGATCCTGTTGTGTCTCCATTAAGATAAACGTAAAATACGTAATATAAACTACAAAATAGAATACAAATAAAAGACGGCCTTTGGGAGGCTTACCACTCATTTTGCCTTTTCTGATTTTTTTACCCACCTTATCAACCTATAAAAACACTCATTCTTTCGTTTTCCTGAAAAATCTAAAAGATTTTAATAAAAAGAACTCAAGAAAACGCGTATGCTTTGTTATCTACAATAGTTTTTCTTTCTTCTTAGTTTCTAAACAAAACTCCGGTTCAAATCCTATTAAAACTTGAACTTGTAAATTCCTTGCAAGTTCTTCCATACCGGAGAGATGGGTAAAGTTCCTTTCCTTTTGTTACTTTTGTGTTGAAAACTTAAACCCCTGGTTTTTTGTCAACTCAGCACTTGTTTCAGCTTTGTCTTTCCCTAAATAACTTGTATACTAAAATATTATTTTTCCACAAATTTTGACTTTTATATTTTTTGATTTTTCCTTTTTTCATATCGTTTATATTCTATATAGATTCGACAAAAGTTACAGCGCTGAAGCATCAGGTGCATACGCTTCGTCATGATTTAGCAGAAAAAAACGCCTTACTTGCCACGGTTCAAAAAAAGCTAAACCGTAATAGACCTCAGCATTATAATAACGGAACCATGAATCATGAATCCACTACCGGAAAAGTTATTGGTCATCTTCAACATGAAATTGAACATTTAAAGAAAGAAGTTGCCGATGCTAAAACTTCGATACATATTGCAAAAGTCGCCCGTGAGCGGGCGGATAGACAAGCTGCTGAACATTATGCATCACACCAAACCTTAAAATTAGAAATCGATTCATTAAAGCGAATGTTGGAACGTAAGGAAAGGCAAGTAAAAGAATTGGAAGAAACTGGAAAGGAAAATGAAAAGAAAAAGATAGAATTCAAAGTAGAACGGGATAAGACAAACAAGTTATTGCAAGAATCCGAATCGAAAGCTGTTGAATTAGAAAAACAATTGGCCATTGTTATAGCAAGTAGAGAACAAGCGGAATTTCAGTATAAATTGTTATCCAAAGAATTGCAAAATTTCAAAACTCGATATATTAAAGATGTGGAATCTATCAAGGTAGATTTTCAAGATCTTCGTAACGAAATGGTTTCAACTTCTAAGGGATTAAAGAAAACTGTGGTAGAAGCTGGTTCTCGTATTGAAACATTAACAAAGGAACGTAAGTGCGAAGTAGAAAATCTAGAAACAATTCAAATAAAATTAAAAGAAAATCAAGAGAAATCTATCGCTTCGATATTAAGTGAAGTTGATCGGATGAAAAAGGACGTCGAGATATCGAATCAAAAGACTCAACTATATTCTAATCAAGTTGCAAAAGTTGAAGATGAAATATCAAACAAAATGAAATGGTTGAAAAATATAAAGATTCGTTAATAATTAATAATTCATAGTAATGTTTACTTTTTTTTATATATATATATATATTATTAAAACGATTGTTCCAAACCTTACTCCTTTTTATTTATGTACCGATTCTGTTGAGTCCTTTGGACTATCGGAAAGGTTCATGCCTGTATATATATGCGTGGGTGGAAGGTGCGGACATATCAAGAAAATTATTTATAATGATATTGGATATTATTAATATATACATTTTAGCATATGTATTTTACTGTAATAATAAATTTAAATTTTTTTTTTAATGGGCATCTCAAGCATCAAAATAATTAAAACATTTTCCTTTTTTGATCTTTGGATATAATATATTGTGTTTCTAAAATTTTTTATTATAATAAATTCATAATTTCAAAAAAAAATTAAAATTAAATAAGTGTATCCAAAAAAATTTCCTATTACATGATAGTTTATTTATTTCTTTTCGTAGCTTTGTCTCTTTGCCCAAAGGGAGACTGGGTAAAGAATACGTCGTGAAGAAACAACCAATGCGTCTTTCTGATTAAACTTTTGTTGTAAAGCTTCTTGAATTTTTGGTGCCTTGTTTTGAGTTTTAAATAAATTTTATTTTCAATTATTTGTATAAAATCGATTGAATAGATAGATCTTCATTATAAATTGCTCACCTCTTCTCTCAAGTATTTCTCAATACTTTCTTTATTATCTACTTCAAAAAACACGGTAAAATATTTGTGAACCCTATCTGGATGTTTGACCCCAGGATCACCTTCGTCATTTTGAGGATCACGTTGAAATACCTCCGCATCACGGAAACCAGGTTTACTGTTCAACGTTTCATTTAGATGTTCATGCAACCAACTCTCAAATTCCTCGGTAATTTCTGTTTTAAATAAATTTATTATAATTCATAATATAATTGCTTAACATTTGTCAAACTACACAAGTATATTTACAAAGACAAATTACCTAATGCGATAGTAAAATTTGCCTCATAAATAATAGGCAAGATAGAACTGTCTTTGAAAATTTTGGTATTATTCTGCATTTTCAAAAAATGCTGCGAAATGTACTCGGTTGTAGATGATTTAAGGAAGACCTATAAATGATTTGACAATCCTTATCGTTATTGTTATTTAGAATTTCGTCTATCTGTACTCATAAACCTAAAAAGAAATGTATTAGTGCATTCATGGGCGTCAATTAATTGATAGGATTTTTGTGTAACTATACGTATAATCTCACGTCCCATTGGTTTATTATCAAATAGTTATGTTATAGATATTACTACAGCTTGTAGCTTATTTTTAAAATTGTATCTTCTCTTAAAATTAAATATTGTAATAAACTTATCTTAATTTGATAGATTTAATCTTGATGCGCAACATACTATTCCAAAAAAAGCCACCACTATCAAAGTTTGCAAAAATAAATTAATTTGATAAATTTGATGAGTAGAGAAGGAAATGATTGCATCGATCCAATTTGGGGCAGTTATTTTGACAGCTACATCACACTCCGTCGAAATTTTTTTACATAAAAGCATAACATCTATACTCATCAAATGAGTCCTCACGTGAATTGATAACGTGAATTGATTTTTATTGGTCTAAAAATAATCATTAGACATTTTAAAAAAAATTATTTATTTTAATTCTTCTAATTCTTCTAAAATACTATCCGGAATTCTTCTATGTGATTTGTATTTCTTAATAGCATATTCTGCCAATTTTTCACAAATACCTTTTTTATAAGCATCCATATAATGCCAACATTTTCTTGCAAATTTTCTAATTGTAATTAAAGATACTGAGTTAAGAAATTTTGGTATAACTGTTTGTAATCCCTTTCATGAATAATTGCAATTTTCTTGTGTATATCTTTTATAAGCTTCTCAATATCTTTCAATGAAATTTAGTTCACAATAAAAATTGGATAAAAAACACATATATAATTAGTCTTTTTAATTAATTTTTTAATTGCTTCTTTTTGTGCAAGAAAATCAGATTCTAAAGATATTACCTAATAAACATAACAAGAAATTCTTGAAGAATCATAAATTTTTCTTTACAATTTTTACATTCTAGTATTAATCCTTCAGATAGCCATTTTCCTCATTCTATTAATACTTGTTTAATTCACCTTGAGTTTTTTATTATGATGTATAGCTAAAAATACCATTGATTGCAACTGTTAATTTTGATTCAAAATAAGTATTATGCATAATTGGTTTGCTTGCTATCAGGATTTAAATTCATTTAACTTACAATTAAAGCATCTTTTTCAAATATAACATGATTAGAATTATTATCAAAGATAAATACTGCTACATAATTTGAATATAATGCCTCAAAAATAAGAATAGCTTTATATTTGATTTGTTCAAAAAGATGATCAGCTATCTAGTAATCTTCTTGATTTTTATCAGATTTCAAATAATATTATGCTTCTTTAAGTATATTTGGATTTTGTAATATATTTGCTTGTTGTAAATGTAAATATCTATTAATTTCAGTAAAAAACTCACTAATCATTATAGATCTTTTATTCCCTTTTTTTATAGTGATAGTTCATCATTTTTGATTCAAATTCTGTGTTTACTATTATTAGAATAAAAAATACACTCATCATAAGTTACAAGAATTCTTTTTTTTTTCCTTCAAGTAAGTTATGATATATATAATCTATTATTTCACCTTATACTTAAATATATATTTCTCATATTCAGACATCTTTTCTAAATATACTTTGCAATATTGTAAAACATCTTCTCATATATATTCATAATAATATATACCTTAATGGATTATTAAAATGAATAACCAAGAATATTAAGCTATATTACTGTAATCATTAAAGAAATCAATTTTTTTGTAATTCTAATATCAGGCAATATTAAATATAATTAGTATAATCTTAAAATTTTGTTTGTGAATCCAAATTAGCATTATTCAACTATTTCTTTATTATCAATTAATCTAATAGATTTTTGAGGCTTTTCATATTTAGATATCAGAAATTCATTATTATATAATCAGTAATTTACATTATCAGATATATCATACTTTTTATAGATTATCATCAACAAAAATGATTTTAGCTGCTTTTAAACTAGTATGCATTTTTTTATTATTTAAACAGGTAAGATATTTATAGATAGCTTCTTTTTTACTATATTCAGTAATGATCATTTATTATATTGCTTTTCTTATTGTCTTTTAGACTTTATATTCTTTTATCAATTTAATAAGTATTTTTTCATTTTCTGAATTACTTAAAGTTTGCTCTATTTCATCAGGTTGTATATTTATAACTTGATTATTAACTTTAAAAAAACTTGTAATTAAATATTAATGACTACCTTAGTAAATGAACTGGTTAGTCTATATTTTCATAATAACTTGATTTTAAAATCTTTTCTGTTATATATCAATCATATTTTATTTTTTCTAATTCACATTTTTTATTTCACACTAATTTGAGATCTTTATTTTTTAGTTTTATATTTCTTTAGTAATATTATCATTATCATCATTATTGAAGCTACTATCTTTGTCATTATCCAATTCTTCTTCACTAAATTCTTTCTTATTAAAAAATTCTAAGTCTATACTAATATTACTTTTATTTGCAATTTTATTATTAATTATTTTATCATTAAATAATATAAAAATATCTGATAAATTATCATTAGTAAGGTTGTTTATCTAAACTCATTTTGGATTTGACTAAATGTCTAAACCTTTAGTTTTACTAAATTTTTACTAAATATTTGATATCATTTTACCATTTTTATAAGCTTTGATATAATTTTACCTTTTTTTGAATTTTACAGATTTTTTAATAAGGTTTTAATTATAATTTAACCAAGTTTTATCTTTATCATTTAGATGCCTGTCTAAACTCTAGATTTCAGTCAGCAACCTTAACCATTATTATAAAGACTAAATAAACCATCATCATCACAAGAACCAAACAAATCACCATTATTATAAGAATCAAATGAATTACTATTATAATAAGGATCATATGAATTACTATCATTAAAAAGACTAAATAAACTATTATTATTATAAAACACTATAACTGCAGTAACTGCAATAACTTTGTCATAATGATCAGAGGATTCAGTTTGATTTGTTAATTATACTTGGATATTGTACTTTAAATTTGCCATCTACAGTATGATTTTGGTTTTTTGATTTTCTTTTTTCTTAAAAAGAGGGTGGCATTTTTTTAAATTTAATATGTAAAAATTTGCTATTATGCATTTTGTCTATCTTTATTTAATATTAATAAAGATTCTATAGATTTATGTAGAAAGAGAATATCTAAAGCTATATAGAAAGAAGATCTTGTATTTATGAATTTCTTTATCACCAATATTTACCATAGTTTATTGATTAAATATATTATACTAATATTGATTGATCGCAAAAAAATATAATTTAATTTACCTGTGATTAAATATATTATACTAACATTTATTGATCATAAAGAAGTATAATTTAACTACTGGAAAGTATACGAATATGAATTTTTTGGACTTGCTAAATTATGTAACGCAGCAATCAAATGAATTTATCACGTGATAATTTCATGCATTTTTATTGATCAGATTGCAAATACAGTTGACCCTTTCTACAGTCACCCCCTATACAATCACATCATATAAATCCTTCGTTATAAGCACACCTTTCATAAAAACCAGTTCCTATTAACACTATATAAAAAACCCCTTCTATAATTACAATGTTATTATAGTCACATCATTTTGGAACCAATACTTAGTAATACTATAAAAAAATCCTTCTATATAATCACTTTTCACTATAGTCACACTTTTTATTTTTGGTCACGAGGGGTGTGACAGTAGAGAGGGTCGACTGTATACCCCTATAACCGAAATTGGATAATAATAATTAATAATATATCCAACTTTTAAACCCCGATAACTTTTTCAATTCAAAATTTTTTAAAAGATCATAACCTAAACTATAAAAAAATCTCAATAATACTAAAATTAAAAAACTAGATACAATTTGAATTTAATGCACCATATAAAATTGATCATCATATTGCATTTTTGTTCTAAAAATAAACTGTAAACAATAATTCTGATTTCACCGTTTTTCATTTTTTAGAAAGCTCGAAGTTCTGTTAGTTTTTTCTTTCAAGGGTTTTTTTTTTTTTTATAAGATGCCACCTTCCACTCACACTTATATGTCTGAGCAGACGAAAATCCAATCTGAAAGTCAATCAAAGGAAAAATTATCCTTTAGAGTTGGCGATATTGTCAGCCTAGATCTTGAAAAATATGAACGTAAAATAAAAAGTATAAAAATTAGGACACGGTCAGGTAACCTGTTATTAGCATTTGATGTAGTCATTTCTGTTCACGACTTTTTTTGTTTTTTTTTGACTTATTTTGCTACTTTATAAATAAGGTATCACACTTATTAATAAATATATTTTGAATAAATAAAAAAAAAAGTTATTCCATCAAAAAACTAAAATAAATAACCCGGTGTTTTATACAAATTTAGAATTGGACATTTTTGAATGGTCAAAGCGTGGTTACGCTAATAATAATTATTGGATACCGCTATCCGCAGAAAATGTTTCTCGAATTGAGGAATCAAACGTTTCTCGAGAAGAATTTATTGAGAAATATGAAGTACCCGGTTTACCAGTCGTTATTAATGGATGTACAAAAGGCTGGCCAGCAGAGGTTAAATGGAATAGGGAGGTTAGAATTGAAATTCTTTCCTATTGATAAGAAAATCTATTTCGTTGGATAATATTGAATTTTATAGTTAATGGTTCTTTTTTTAAAGACACTTCTTAAAAAATTTGAGGATTACAGATTTAAAGTTGGTGAAGATGATAATGGAGATCCTGTTCGAATGGCATTTAAATATTATTTGTATTATTTAGAAAATGAAGCTATTAAAGATGATAGTCCCTTATATATATTTGATTCATCTTTTGGCAAGCTAAAAAGGTCAACGCAACCGCAACAAGCCGCAAAAACTAATTTAAAAGTCTCGCCAATTAACTATTCATTGGATCTTTCGGAAGATCCTACTGAAAATCAAAACAAATCTGAGGAATCAAAGAAAAAGCAGCCAAGTTTTCATCGTCCATGCTTATTAAAGGATTATAAAGTTCCCAAATATTTTGACGATGATCTTTTTCGCTTAACGGGTGAAAAACGTAGACCACCATATCGTTGGTTCGTCCTTGGCGGTGAAAGAAGTGGAACAGGGTAAATAATTCTAATATTTTACTTATAATTTGGTCATTTGAATACACTCTTGTACTATTGAATTGTATCTTCTTTAGAATACATTTTGATCCATTAGGCACTTCTGCTTGGAATACCTTATTAGTTGGACATAAAAGATGGTGTCTCTTTCCACCTTTCACTCCTCGTAAAATAATTGATCCAAAGTTGAAAGGTTTAGATCATGAGGCAGTATCATGGTTTACTCATGTCTATCCTATGTTAGTTAGTGTTGAAAAGGATCAAGATAAAAGCTATGCTGAAGAGTTTGAAATGGTTCAAGTGTTGCAAAAACCTGGTGAAACTATGTATGTCCCAGGAGGATGGCATCACGTCGTTATGAATCTGGGTAAGCTGAATCAGTTATTTCTTTAAATATGAAATAATAAAATTTTAACTTGTTCATTTGCGTTTATGTAATGTAATAGATTTTACTATAGCTGTTACTCAGAATTTTTGTTCCCCAACTTCAATTGAGCATGTTTGGCTGCGAACAAGAAATTCGCGTCCGAAACTTGCACAAAAACTTTTAAGTAAATTTACAAATTTGTCTAACATTGGGAGTACAAGACATGACAAGGATTTCTATATGACACTGGTGAACAGAATTAAAGCTTTAGATACAATTCCTGCCTTTCTTGAAAGTAGTAGTAGTAGTAGTAGCTCTTCATCTAGTTCAGACAGTAGTTCGTTTGTTGATGAATATGAATTGGAGGTAAGTGAAACTCAAAGTGAAACAGATGGTAGTGATGGAGAGTGTCTTTGCTATACTTGTAAGATGAAAAGGAAAAGGAAAGAAAAACTTGATAAACAAAATGAAGAAGCAGAAAAACAAATGAGAAAGGAATATAAAAGAAGAGAAAGAAAGGAATTTGAAAGATTAAATCAAGAACAACAAAATAATAGAGTCACTAAAGGTAAAGAAAAAGGAAAAAGATATAATGATAGAATGATTAATGAAGAGGTTAAAAAAAAGAAAAGAAAAAAGGAAGAGTAATTAAGTTTGATTTGTCTTATATATTATATTTATTATAATATATATATATATTATAAAATCAAGTATTAATAGAATAAGATAATTAATAAAAAACATTTAGAAAAATCTAAAGATATATATATATTTATAAATATAATGTAAAAAATAAATTAGTAATAGGTTTGAATACATTTTTAATTTAAATATTTTAAATAAGATTTAGAAAATATGAAATTATAATAAATATTTTGCTAATTTTTTAAAAATATGATTAGATTAAAATATATGTATTTTTATTTATTATAGTAAGGATTTCTAGAGGTGTATTATTCTTAATTGAAAGTTAAAAGTAATTAAAAGTAACGTTTGATAATGAAATTTGTTTAATTTATATTATCAAAACACTTACAACAAACATTTTCTTATAGTCTGATTTACTACTTTACATTAAAAAAATATTTTTTCGATATTATTTTTCTTAGTTTTTAGAATAAGTAATTAGATTATCAAATCATTTGTGAAGAATAATATTCACACTTTCATTCTAATCAGATTAACTAATTAAGTAATACCTATTCTTATAAATCCAGGTACTTTAAATAGTAAATTTTTCATTTTTTTTTATTTATATTGCAATAAATATAATTAGATTTTTATTTAGATAAGCTTAATGCAATTAATTAATAAGACAATTAATTAATCAATAAAACAATCATAAAGTTAACAATAAAAATTTATTTGCATTTGATTTGATTCTTTAAATCAATTAATAATTAAATATTATAATTATTATTTATTTATTATGAAAAAGAGTTATGATTTATAAAATAAAATAAAAAAATTTTAAAAATAACTTATATTTTAACATATCTAAAAAATATTTTTTTTAATAAAATATTGGTTTTTTTATTATAAAAAAAAGTAAATATTATTTTTCTATAAAAAAAAATTTTTTATTTATCTTTTGCTTACTTGATTTGAAAAATATCTTTAAAACTTAAGAGATTTTGTTATATATATATCTCTAGAGAAAAGATTGCATAAGATTTCATAATTAAGAAGATTATAATATTATAAAAATAGACAAAATAAACTTTATTAAGATGATCCTACTTATAAATAAATATATTTACACTAATAAATAAAAAAATCAATCATAAAATCCAAGATTTTGAGGTATGTAATATTATTTATTTAAAAGGAAAATTTGTCAAATATTCTAATTAGTATATAATAAACAAATTTTTCTGTTTTATAATTATTTGTATAATCTCGATATATAAAAAAATTATTAAAAATACTTACTTTTCAAAAGGTAAACATTACTTATATAAATATTATTTATTTTAACTTTGATAATATGCTGATAACTAGAATAAATATTGTTATAATTAAATATTAATTCTTAATAAAATAACTAAAAGAATACCTGATCTCTGACTTTTACCACTCGTAAACTTAAAAGAGATTGACAAATATTCTTATGAATGAATATGATCATCACCACAACTGTTATAACTACAACCAGAGTTGAAAAGTATAGTATTAGTACAATGATTAGTATAATTAGTACTGTTAACGTGTGATTTTGACAAATCACAATGGTAGATGAGACATTTGAGTAATTGCTTTTTATTAGTAGCTTACTGGATTCATTAAAATAATTGTAATAATATGTATATTTTAAGTAAAAGAATACTTTATAAATCATAAATTATGTAGCAATTAATTATTATATTTCTAATATTATGCATGTAAAATAAGTTTATTAAAGATAAGATATATAAGAATAATAATAATAAAAGAATAATGAAAAAATGAATAAGCATTTAGTATCAGGCTTGAAAAAATTTAATTCTCTATTATTCTAACATTTAATATTTACAAACCATCTTATTTATATAAAACTAATATATTATACATGTCTAATAAATCCAATATATCTAATATGTTTGCTATGTCTAATACCAGTTATGTCAGTTATGTTAGAAATGTCAGAAATGTCTGCTATATCAGAAATATCAAATATATAAGTTATGTAACATTTATTTAACATTTCTAACATTATATATATAAATCATTTGCAAATCATTTAGTAGATCAATTCTGTATATCATTTTGTAAATCTTATAGTAGATCAATTTTATGAAACATGTTGATCATTTACTGAATCATATTTTCTTATTATAATCACATTGTAATAGTACATTATAATAATTAATATAAAAATTAATACAAATACAAAAAAAGTATAATGTTAATTTTATCTAGTACATACAACTATCACAGATTATAATATCAAATTTAGACTAACTCTAGAAGCAATCATAAATGTAAATCTGATTTCTATTAGTATTAATTCTACAGTAATACCATTATTAGACAAACAAGAAATAATTCATTAATGATTTCAATATCAATTTCTTATATCTAACCCACAATTAATAAAAATATTTTATATTAATATATATGATAATCAGTGTATTTAAGGTTAATTATATAAGATCATAATAAGAATCTATTAAATACTTTTTTAATGACTTCGTTAAATAAGAAAATGTCAAAGTATTAGAAAATATAATATAATAAAAGTTTCAAATTAAATAATAATTTTCTTTAGTAATATTAAAATTATTTTTTATTTTTAAATCACTTGACCTTAAATAAATAAACTTAATATATTTATTATATATATACTTCACTATTAAAAGTTTGAATTTTAGATTTTAAGAATTACTATTTGAAAATTAAAAATTTGACTATTTTATTTAGATCAAAAATTAGTACTTAAATATTGAAAATGAATTAATTATTCATAAATAGTATTGCTGTCTAAAATTAAAATTCTGTAGTTTAGAATAATTAAAATTAGTTTAGTTAATAGCTGAAACTACTAAAACTAATTTTGTTTAATCAAAACTAATTTTTAGTAATTTAAAATAATATTCTTATTCACAAAGTTAATGCAACTTTTATCTCGCCTAAAATTTTTATTTATTATATTTTATAAGGTTGACCTTTGATAAAAAATGAGATCATAATATTATCAAAGGTAAAAAAGTTTATAGATCAATGTTTTATAATGTTAATTTTATTAGATTTTTTTTTATTATACAAATTATTGATACAATTTTATTTATTTATATTTAAAAAAGAGCCAGATGAACATCCAACTACTAAAGAATTTTTACATGTAAATTTAATGTCTTTTTACTCAGATGTTATTTATTTTCCATATCTTATAATTTTAAAAAGATATGAAAAAAAAATTTTGTAAAAATTAAAAATATTTAAATTAAAATAATATAAGCATATAGCTTTTTTTTTATTGTTTATGTGCTAAATAAAAATAATTATATAAAACTTTGTGAAAAATTTATTACAAATTAATTTCATCATACTATATATTATTCAAATCCATAAATTATTTAAAGTTAAATAAATAAAAAAATTATATTAAAAAAAAAATCTATATTATTAATATGAATTTGTTTTTTAATATTATTTATCATTTTATAATTATTTATGAGATTATTGATAAAGTGAATACAATTAATCAACTTCTTATCTTATTTGAAACTGCAAATAACTAATTATTACATAATTCACATTCTAAGTAAAATTATCTTTATTAAAATTACCTTTTTTTTTCATTTTAAATCCCTATGTTATGATCTATTAAATCAACTTAATTTATATTTTTGATAATGAATATGAAATGATACTAGATTGGATCATGATAAATATTGCATCTATTATACTGAGTAATCCTAATATTCTTCTACCTTAATCTATTCAGCCCACATCATACCAATTACATCTCAACTTTCAAATATAATGATCATATATTAGAGACTTTCAATTACTTTGCAAAGATACTTTGATAATTTTAAAATACCATTTTAAAATAATACCTTGAATCACTTGTATTTATTATAATAGACTCTTATATTCATATCCAGAAAAAATTTTATAAATATTTTACAACCTATTAATCACCTATCTACTATTAATACATTCTAAACATTATCTTATTATTCATAAATTAAGAAAATCTACCTGTGAATCATGCAAAAACCCTTCTATAAGATTTATATTTTTATCTATTTCTTATACTACAGAAATTTCTTTCAGTTTTTTTAAATAAAAAGAAGCATCTCTTTCCAGTTTACTTAAACTGTTTATTAGGAAGGATTTCAAATAGTAATTTCTTCTTAAAAATTAAATCTGCTAAACAACTTTATGTATACAACTAAAGTTCTTTGAAGTCACTGTACAGATAAAAAATAAAAATAAAAAAATTTTATAAGATAATACAATTACAAAAAATTTGTATAACATTATAACCATTAATCCAATCATAATAAAAATTTATATTTACATATTTTGGAACTACTAAACAACTTTACATATGTAATCAAAGTTAACTTCATTTGATCAAAATGCTTAAATTGCTTTTTGAAATTACTAAATAAATAAAAATTTCATGAGATAATACAATCACTAAAAAACATTTATAACTTTACAACCATTAATCCAATTATAATAAAAATTTATATATACATATTTTTGAACTCGCTGAGCAACTTTACTTATTTGATTGAAGTCGATTTCATTTAATCAAATTGCTCAAATATCTTTTTGAATTAATTAAATGGATAAAAAAAAATAAAAAATAATTTGTTGATCAATATAATTGCAAAAAATATTTATAATTTAAAATTTAACTTTCTGATTATAATAAATTACATAGTAATTATACAAATAACTTTATTAGAATATAAAAAGAAAGTATATTAAATAAAATTAAAGATGTTTTAAAAAATAATAGATTAAAAAAAAATTTTTTTTTAAATATTTTATTTCGTTTAATTTTATTGGTTAATTTGAATTTTATCATAAGTTTGATCTGACCTAATATTGACCAGAAAATTTATTTATTTGATCTAATTTTTCAGATCATGTTAAATCAGATTACAAGTTAACCTGACCTGATTCAAAGTTTTAAAATCATCTTTAAA